TGGTTGGCCACAGAGTGAGAGGGGCTCTTCTACCTACAGGACTTGCGTGCGTCGTTATATGAAATATAAAGCAACAAAGATTTCGGTTATTCCGGTTCCGGATAACCGAAGATTTCCCAGGAACTCTCGGCGAGAAACGATACTGACTCAAAGACCCCAATTTTCTTGTATTTTTTAATAAAACTGAGAATTTTTGACCTTTGGCCTTCTGAATTTCAAAAAATTTTCGCCTGCGGCGCTGAAAAGATGAATCCTTCTTTATTTGCCTTACAAAATCCGAGTATTTATCTAAGCCCTCACGATTGAGTTCGCACGACTCTTTTATCTAGCTCAACTGAGTCCCAGTAATTTAATAAAATTAAAAGGCTTAAATACAATACTGGGTTATTTGGAGGGATTTGGGTGTTTATGGGGAATCAATGGATTTGGAGGGATATCGAATGTAAGGCGGTGGGATATCGAATGTAATCGAATGTAATATACTTTTGTAACAGAGTATATAATCATTTTACCTATAAATCCTACTATTGTATTTTTTTAAAAAAGGATGTTAGCCATCAATCGAATCGGATCCAGATGATGAAGAGTATTTATCTGATGAGTTGGATGATGAAAATAATGAATAAATTATTTTTACACGTATTTTTTGGCGTAAAATAAAATTTTCTGTTAGTCTCGGTCAGTATCGTTTCTCGGTATCGGTCTCGGCTTAAAATGATGGTATCGGTCTCGGTATCGGGTTCTTGAGTATCGGTCAGTCTCGGTCTCGGGTTGGCCGATACCAGTATCGTTTTGTCCAACTCTACTTTTATTGCGAATTGCTTTTGAAAAAATCAAGTTGGCCTCCTAAAATATATTCGGATGAAGGCCTATACATATACCTACATTAAATAGAAAAATTTCTCACATGATAGTAAAAAATAAATTTTATTAAATATCCATTTACAAGCACAAATCTGTCAAAAACTTTAATTAAAATTATTTTTTAATTATTTTTTCTTGACAATCAAATTGCATAGCTGCAGAAGTAATAGCAGCTGCTATTTGATGGAATTTCGAATTATCTTTTTTATTCATTTCATCAACAGCCAAAACTTCGGCTAATTGAAGTTTTCCATCTGTGTTTGTATCTGCTTCCGCAAAAGAAGTTTTGCATGTTTTTTCCTCCTCTTCTCGAACTTGATGGGCATGATAGGCCACAAATTCTTCTTTTGTAACAGCTCCATCATTATTTAAGTCAATCGAATTAAATAACTCTCTGGCAGAGGTATTATCATCTCCATCAAATGTACCTAAATAAAAGGTAAACTCTTTGTATAAAGCTTTGATTCACTAATACTACCTATTCCTATTGTTGTCGTATAATGATATCAGGATCCAAAAAATGTCCGAAAATATAGAGATTTACGGTTCGGATACTTGGGATTTTAAAAACACGATTTTACTGGGATTTCAAGTATCCGACAGTCCTAACTATACTCTTTCGATACGAAACTAACGCTCAGAGTTAGTATCAGGTTACAGAAACATGGACTTTTTTCTGCTTTTAAATCGCGGTCTACAAAAGATTCGATTAAACGAAGCTTCGGTTTCAAATCATAAAAGTTCAGGTTTTGAGTATAGGACAGGGTGGCCCCTTCCAAAACACTAAAATAGGGCGCAGACACTCAAAAATAGGGCAAAAATAGGCCAAGAAGCCAAATTTCTTCCTTTTTTAGCGCCGCAGACACAAAATTTTGAGGATTTTGAAAGCCAGGAAGTCAGAAATCCTTAATTTTTTTCCATTTTTTACAAAATTCGAAGAATTTTTAAAAATTTTACAAGATGGTAAAAATATGGCAAATGAGAAAATAGGGAAAAAATAGGGCGAAAAGGTCAAAAATAGGGAAAATCCTCTATAAATAGGGTAAAAGGGCCACCCTGGTATAGGATCACCCGTCCTATCCTTGATTAAACCCTAATAATATTTCAAATTACCATTTTTAGCTGATAAAGCTTCATTAATTTTAATCACTCCATCTTCATTTTGATCTCTCGAAATAAATTCCTGTTCTATTCTGTGATCTCTACTTAGAGAACATTTATTGCCTTTTTCAACAGATTCCATTAATTCCAAAAATGTTATTCCGCCATCCTTATTTGTGTCGATAGATTTGAAAACCCGTTCAGTTAATTTATGTTCATCATATTCCAAATCTGATTTTGTAAATTTTATTTACAGTTACACTCTGACCCCTCTATCTAGATACAGCTTAAATAGGTGGTATTCCTTAATCACCCCCTCCCCCTCCTCACTACAGGACGAAAGAAGAGAGGGGGATGATATCTAGAGGACGCTGGTATCTTTTGCCCAATTAGTTGAATGAGGGAGAGCTAAACGATCCCTAATATTAAAAATACTTCTATATGATTTTTTAGCCAACAAGGGTTGAGAAAATAGTCGAATCGGGTTTCGGTAACTCGAGAGATTCCTATCCGACAGTATAATTTAAAAACCTTCATCTCCCTCATTCAAAGGACGTCCATTTATCCTTTCAAATGATAAAATAAAAAAAGCTGATAATTGAAGGAAGCATTGTTTTTTGATGAACATTAAAAATTATCTTGATAATTAATAATAATTTAGGCAACAAAAATCTTAAAATATTTCTAGAGGTAACCCAAAGACCCAAATGTTTCTAGAGCTTACTCCACACATGTACCCTTGACCCAAGTCTCAATTTATTCCCAATTCGAGCTCTGAGAAATCCAAAAAGTAATATCTCAATCAAGCAGCTGGGCTATATCTATTCCTTTCCTTTAACTAGCGCAAAAGGTTAATCGGCGGCTGGGAGCGAACCAGCATCTTCAATAGATCGGACTGATGTGTTAGCCATTAAACCACGCCGCCTACTGCACAGCCTTAGGAATTAAATAGCTATATGCTTTACAATCACTAATATCCCTCAGTAATATCTCCCTTTATAATTAAGTAAAAATTACTCTATTTATTTTGCAACAATTATTTTCTGAAAATAATTTTAATAAAAATAAATAAAAAAAATTTTTGTTTAATAAGCGCGAAAATAAAATAATAATTTAGTTGTTAATTGAATCGATGGTCTTTCAGTAGTAAAAGATATTCGTAATAGCAATTAAAAGTTATTACACCGAATAATAATTAATAATAATTATTTGGTTGTGTAATTCTCTCAAAATAAAAAATTTTTTGGTTGTAAAAAAAATAAAATGAATGTGCGAAAATTTTATTTTTTTATTAAAATTAATTTATTACTTTTATTGAATACGTAATAATTTTTTGAAAATTATATTTTTTAATTATATTTTGATTAATTTATTCAGAAAAATAATTAAATAAATTTAAAAAAATAAATTCCGGTCAAAGCTGTATAATTAAAAAAATTATTTTTAAAAAATTAATTTGAGGGTTATTTGGCCCTTTGAGGAGGGATCAAACGATATTAATTGTGGTGCTTGGAAAATCTTTGGATATCTGTAACCAAACTGAAATTCCTCTCTTAATTGGTCTGACAAGACAATCCTAATCAGCAGAAAATTGAAAGGGAAAATGACGCTCCAGTAGCCCTGTAAAATATTTGAGAGATCTAGAGATACTCACACACATGCTTTCATAGTTGAGCTAATAACTCAAACAGGAACCAAAAATATTTAAAAAAATTTTTTTAAATTAGTTATTATTCAATAAATTATAAAACCTTAAGATTCTTGCAGTTTAGTCTATTTTTCAAAAAAAACATTCTTTGCCAACTAAAAGTGCCAAAGACTTATTTTGTCTCTAGAGAGAATAGTGCAATAATAAAAGATATATCCATTGTATTTAGTGTCAAGACGCATCCTTTCTTTAAAGATTTTAATGTTTTTTCCACCCATTCAAGCATAAACTTGGCTTTGAGTTAAATTAAATTTTTATAAAAATAAAATTTAACATTAGTCTTTAAAATTATTATTTTACTTCGACTTTTTAAATATAATTTTTTAAACCAACAAACGCAATATTCGAGCAGAATTGCTGTGACTTTTTTCAGGATCTAGATATCCAGATTCGCAAACCCGTACACGTGACCAGCTTCGACGCTAGTACCGTAATACGTACCCGTTCTCGTAGCAAAAATTCTAACAAAACACAAATACCCAATTTATTCTAATAGAAACACATCTCTATTCGAACCACAGTCTCTAATATATATGAAAAATATAAGCACAGTGGTTCTATTAGAATAAATCCTGTAGAGGTGATACTAGCAAATCTGAAATTTCGAAGCATTCTTATTGTTAGTACTTATTTTCTCTAAGGAAACTCAAGTTTTTTGACATTAATACGAGTAAAATTACTAATTGAGTTACTCGAGTAATTATTAAATTAAATTTAAAAAAGTTTTTAACTGATAAAATTCAAAAATTAAAAAATATTTTCATTCAAAAATTATATTTTATTAAATTATATTTTATGGGAAACTTACTTAATTTAGTTATTATAACTTAATTAGCATAACTAAAAAATAGAGAAAATTTATTTAATTATTTATTCTTGTTTACTTTCTCACTTTTCACAATTAGCTGGCAAACCCTTTAAAAATACGACATTTCCGTTGCCACGAAGAAAGAAACAAAAGTTATATACTTCCATTATTGTTTCTTTGAAAAATTATTTATTAGAGCTGTCTAAGTTCCGTCTAAACTGATATCGAGGAACATAAAAGCTCATGGGACGGATGTCCGTAGTTACCCTCCTAGTTACCCCCGTCAGTAGTTACCCTAAAGTAGAGGCCTAAATTCGTCTTGTACTTGTACCATAATTTGAATTAGAGCTCTAAATTTGAGCTCTAATTCGTCTTGTAGTTTGAGATGCGAGTAAGTGACCAAGAATAAAGGTACCTTAAGAAGGCTAGCTCATAAGAATTTTAGAAAAAAATTTTTTTTAGTTTAAGAGAATCTCAATAATCTCTATTTTCTATTAATATCAACAGATCTTCATCAAAATGACAAATACTACGATAAATTTAATTGAGATTCCAAAACAAATTTTAAGTATAAATTTACCTACTAAACAAAAGGTTGTTTAAAAATTTTTTGGATTTTTTAAAATAATTAATTTTTTAATTTAAAGTATACGGCATTAAAGCCTTTATTCACGGCAGCATTTAAAGCAGGGTGTCAGCACTTTAATATAAAATATCATAACTCAGGAAATGATCAAAATATAATAGAATTTGTTAAATTAATTAATGAATGGAGTAATAAAGAATTTTTTATTGAAAATCAGGTGGAGTTTAAAAATCTTAAATTGACTTAAGGCAGGTTATGATTTCATTACTCGCTGCTCCAAGTTTCCGCCACAAATTCTAAACCTAAAAATTATAGTTGTCATGAAAGTTTATTCTAGGGAATTAATCCGAAAAGATAATCATTTTTACTATATTTCCTGAAATACTATTAGAGAGGGCAGTAATACTAACTGGGAAGGGCACTACTATTAAAACTCTTGTCCAATTTGCGAGTTTACTGAATCTTAAAACTAGAACTGCAGATGATACATTTCATTTTCAGCCTAAAACTAGGCTGCATATAAGACAATCTCTAAAATTTTTTTATTATTTTAGTCATCACCAAGAGAAAACAAAAATATTTTTATATCACTAACACTAATAATCAACAATAATTTAAATGAGACACTTTCTACTGACATTGAAGAATTATTAAATCATCCAAATTTAAATTTTAGACCAAATTTAATATTATTAAAAATAAATAATTTAAATAATACCGTATTTATTCTAATAGAGTGGCCGCCACTCTATTTTTCGATACCCCCAAAAAGGGGCCATTCTATTGGAGGGGCCATTCTAATGGAGGTGGCCATTCTATTTTTCATAGGTTAAAATCTGAGATTGGATGAACCTATTGTCCACTCGAATATTTTTCGACTTCGAAATTTAATCGATTTTTCTTATAAAATTCTAAAGTTTTGATTTAGGTTAGTGAATTTTCCTTCTCGTATCACTATAAAACATAAGAGCCTTTTGCCTGCGGGGCTAAAAAGGCAACTTTTGATGTACTTCGTTGCCACACAATCAAAATTTCCGGTACAGTTGGCTCCTAAAATTTTGTAGGATCTTGGAATTTGGACGTAATATACTGGAATCGGAATAGATTTATTCAATCCATGAATATCTAACCTTAATTCTCTTAATTCCTTGCTATTAGTTATCTTCAGTAAATCGTTGTAACTTCGTGATATCCCTTCTAATCCTCTCAAATCCCCTGATATCCCTCTTAATCTCCCTGTTATGACTCCAGATTTGCTCAAAAATATTATTATCCTAACTAAAGAGTACTATTTAACAGGTAATAAGAAAATAAAGAAATGTATTAGGTATATGTTTTGTAGTTAAAAGGGCCATTCTATTGGAGGGGCCATTCAAATAGAGGTGGCCACTCTATTTTTCGATACCCCCAAAAAGGGGCCATTCTATTGGAGGGGCCATTCTATTAGAGGGGCCATTCTATTAGAATAAATACGGTAATTTATATAAACAACCAAAAAAGAAGGCAAAAATCGACGAAAATAATAAAAATATTATTATAAATATTAGATCAAGTATTAAAAGAAAGGATAATTATTTGGCTAAAAATTATCCGTTAAAATTTTGGAATTCTTTAGAAAAATATTTAACTTCTGGAAATTTGAAAGATTTTGGAATTTGTGGAGTTGATTTGGATAAAATTGAGAATGTGTATAATGGGGCATTAATTAAACCTAAATATTGGCAGGTAAAAATACAATGTATTTTTTAAAAAAGTTTTAAGTATTTTAGAATAAAATACAAAATTCTGATTTATTTCAATAAATAAACTTGAATAAATAATTCTGGTTTTGTTTAAATCAATATTAATTCATAATCATTGCTTCAAAATTATTTTATTAGAATTACTTATTTGATAATTATTATGTCAGAATTAATATTTCAGAATTATTTTAAGAAATATTATTTCAGAATTATTTTAAGGATTATTATTTCAGAATTATTTTAAGGATTATTATTTCAGAATTATTTTAAGGATTATTATTTCAGAATTATAATTTCAGAATTATTTTAAGGAATATTATTTCAGAATTATTTTAAGGATTATTATTTCAGAATTATAATTTCAGAATTATTATTTCAGAATTATTTTAAGGATTATTATTTCAGAATTATAATTTCAGAATTATTATTTCAGAATTATAATTTCAGAATTATTATTTCAGAATTATAATTTCAGAATTATTATTTCAGAATTATAATTTCAGAATTATTTTAAGGATTAATATTTCAGAATTATATTTCAGAATTATTATTTCAGAATTATTATTTCAGAATTATAATTTCAGAATTATTATTTCAGAATTATTATAAGGAATATTATTTCAGAATTATAATTTCAGAATATTTTTATTTAAAATTTTTAGATAACTTTAAATCAATTATTAGAATATTTTGAAGAAATAAAGAATTTGGCTAATAAGCTAAATTTATTAATTATAGTTGATACAACTGGGGGTGTTGGGGAATGTAAAATTAATGGAACTATGAGAATTAATTTATTAAGAGATTTATCTAAAAAATATGAGAGAACAGCTAGTCAAGTTTGTTTTTGTAATAATATCTCTCAATTTGTATTTATGTGTTTTTAATTAAAATACAAAATTCTGATTTAAATAAACTTGAATTATATGTAGATAATTCTGATTTTATTTAAATCAGAATTTCAAGTTTATTTTTAATTCTGGTTTAAAATTTATTATTTTTTTCAGAATTATTTTCCAGAATTATTATTTTAGAATTTTTTATTCTAATTCTAATTTAGTTTTTATTTCAGAATTTTTTAAATTCTGATTTATAATTTTTATTTCAGAATTAAATAATTAAAAATTCTGATTTAATTAAAAACAGAATAAATTATTCAAGTTTATTTATCATAAAGGTTCTCCATCGTTGGTTAATTCAGCATGGAATGATTATTCAACGCAATTGTGGAACACTTAATTATTTAAATATTTCTCGACAAATTTCAATCTCTGATATTGAAATTAGTGAAGAGGATATGAATAGTTTAAATGAACTTTACAAACGAAAAGCTCAGGAACAAATAAAAAGGTGAAATTAAAAATAAATTTAAATAATTAGCAAAAATATTTTTAAAATAAAAGTCATGAATTTATTTAATATTATTAGAATTTTATATTTATAAAATATATCTATTTATGTATTAGACTCTTTTTAAATTTTTTTAATTAATTGAAATTATTTCACTAAATTTAGCTGTATTTTTATTTCAGAATAAATTAAACCTGAATTCTGAAATAAAACTTAATTCTGGTTTAAAAAATAGTTTAATTCTGATTTTAAATAAACATTAATTCTGACAGAATAAGTTTAATTCTGATTAAAAGTTTATTCTAAATAAACTTGAATTATAAAATAAAAGTTAATTCTGATTTTAAAATAAACTTTTTCTAACTAAAATTCTGAAATAATAATACCTAAATAAACTTAAATTCTGACAATAAAATAAATGATATTTCAGAATATGTATTTATAGAAAGAATTATCGCAAAACAATTAGTAAAATACTTAGAAGATAATAAGTTCTTTAATCAAAATCAGTTTGGGTTTCTTAAATCAAGATCCACAACAACACAGTTATTATCCACAATGAATGATCTATATAATGCAATACAAGATGGATATAGTATAGATATCATATACATTGACTTTGCTAAGGCATTTGACACTGTACCGATAAATATTCTTCTAGATAAGATAGTAAAAGCAGGCATTAGTGGAAAAGTCTATACATTTCTTAAAAATTTTCTATCTGATAGAAATTTCAAGATTAAGATTGGTGACCAAATATCTTGCGAATATGAAACATTCTCAGGTGTACCTCAAGGTAGTGTCTTAGGACCTCTTCTATTTCTTATTTTTATAAATGATCTTCCGAATCAAATCCCTGAAAACATTGGAATAAAATTATATGCAGACGACGTAAAACTATATGTAGCTCATAGAAATGGCATAGAAAGGGATGAACTTAATAAAGCTTTATGGAAACTTGAAAAATGGACAGAGTTAAATGGTTTAGAAATATCTCCTCATAAGTGCTTTGCCTTATATCTAGGGAAAAATAACCTGAAAAGAGAGTATAACATTCATGGATTAAAAATACAAGAAACAGAATGCATTCGCGATCTTGGAGTTTTAATTGATTCTAAAATATCTTTTAATAACCATATAAATATGGTTATAAAAAATGCATATCTAAAAAGTTTCCAAATAACAAGAATCATTAAGTCTAGAGACTTAAATCTTCTTGTTAATATTTATAAAACTTATATAAGACCCCAGCTAGAATATGCAACTGAAGTGTGGAATCCACACATGAAATATCAAATAGATAAAATCGAAAGAATTCAAAAACTATTCACTAAGAATATTTACAAAAAATGTGGATTAATCAAGGTCCCATATGAAGAAAGATTAAATACTTGCAAACTTGAAAAGTTAATAGATAGAAGAAAGATTGCCGATCTTTCCACTGCTTTTAAAATTATAAAAGGGTTTACATCTCTTAATTCCCAAAATTATTTTAATTTTTCAAATAGATCACTTCGCAGGCCTCTACTTCTAAGGATTAAAAAACACACGAACAGAACAAAAAATAATTTTTTTCATAGGGTGGTAAATAAATGGAATAATCTTCCAAATGAATCATTTAAAATAAATGATCCCAAAAAATTTAGAAGTTTTATTAAATTATCACAATCTAAATAAAATTTTTGGAAAAATTAACCTTGAGCGTTATTGTGTTTTTTTTTTATGTGTAATATTAAATTCATTTATTTTTATTGTTCATTTTTAAAGTTATTTTTATTTTTGATGTTGTTTCCTACATATATATATTTTTTTTTTTGACATTAATTTATTTTTTATGTTTTTTTTTTGCACCACATTAATGTATTTTAAAATACCTGTGGTTTGCTGATAAATAAATAAATATTTTAAAAAAAAAAAAAAAAAAAAAAAAAAATATGTATACATACATATTTTCTAATTATTATTAGGCTCTTCATAAATTTTTAAATGATAATAGCCCCTTTTTTGTTACATTTTCCCAACGGAATTTGTTTAAAATATTGTTTCTCTTTTTAAATTTATTTTCATTTAAATATTAAAATTATTATAATTTTTTTATTTTTTATCTTTTATTTTTTATTAATTAATTAAAAAATTTCTTTAACAAATTTAAATAATTTATTGCCCATTTCCTTTTATTCCAATACATTTTAATCCAATTTTCCGTTCATTTAAATTTCTAGTATTTGATAAATAATTCTGACAAAGGCCCAGCATGAAAAATAAATGTTCTGAGAAAATATATTTTTTCTATTTTTCCTTTCATTTTTCACGCTTTCTTAATTTTTAGATGCTTTTATGCTAGACCAAAAAAGCCTTTTTTTTAATCTTTTATATTGCTTGTATTTCTTTTTCTTATATTTTTTAATAAAATAAAGCAAGATATTTTCTGATTTAAAAATGTATTTTATGTATTTTCTCTAAAATGCAGAATTCTGATTTTTATTTATAAATAAACTTGAATTAATAATTCTGATTTTATTAAAGCAGAATTAAAGTTTATTTCAAGTTTATTTTCATTATAATTCTGATTTAAAGTTTAACTATTTCAGAATAAAATAACTTGAATTCTGATTTAATTTAAATCAGAAATTATAATTCAAGTTTATTTTTAATTTAAAGTTTAAATATATTTTTCAGAATTAAGTAAATAAACTTAGATTCTGATTCAATTTAAATGGAATTAAAGTTTATTTTATTTTAAGCTTATTTTTATTTTATTTCTGATTTAATTTTTAACTATTTCAGAATAAAATAAACTTGAATTCTGATTTTTTGTGTTTTTGATAAAATGCATAAATAAATAAAAATTAATATTAAAATACATAAATTTCTTTTTGCCTTAATTCTTTTTGTTTATTTATTTTTTATTTTCTTTCATCTCCATAATTTATTTAAAAATATTCTCTTTTAGTAAATCCATTTAAGTGTGAGAAAAAGCCAAAAAAGACATTAATATCCTTATAATGCTTTCTACAGTGGAGATGCTTTCATCACCCCCAAATTCTGTGAGAGTCAGATGTCGTCGCAGACTTTCATCTCTTCCATTAGCCACATGGCGACTCAGTCGACACTTTAGTATTGGGTAGATTTAATGGAGGAAAATTAATTTATTTGAAGAAATATTTTTTTGTGTTCTCAAAAAATTTTTTTATTTCAAAAAATTTCAAAAAAATTTAAAAAAGCTAAAAAATTTAAAAAAGCTAAAAAATTTAAAAAAGCTCAAAAAAAATTTTTTTAATCTAAAAAATTTTTTTAAAAAGTTTTAAAATTTTTAAGATTTCAAAAAATTCTGAATTCCTAGAAAAATCAGAAATTCAAAAAAAATTTATAAAAATTCCCCCTTTCAGTGTTATAGAAAAGAACGGCAACGGTTTCCATTCCAGTCGTCATTTAATGGGTCAGAGGAGACTTGCTGGCGACTTGGCACTCGGATTGGCCCTTATAGGGATTTCATTAATGATTATTGCTCACGAATGTGCTAATTTAAATTATAAAATTTTCGAAAAGACAGCAAAGATTGGTTTAATTATTAGCACTTTTACTCTACTTTTGGCTACATTAAACTTTCATTGGATTGATATTAAGGCAGATAAATTAAAATATGTTTTAAATTTAATCTTTTTAGACGTATATGTATCAGAATAGTATACCTAATTGGCAGACTGTGTTAACACAGCATGTTAAAATGAAAATAATTCTTGAGGTAGATTGAAGGAAATTTTCTAAATATGTTTAATATATGAGTAAGCTTGATAGAGTTAGGATCTAGACAGGATCTCGAATAAATTTCTCGGCTACGGATCAATATTTTTCAAGATTTTGATTCTCGTACAACCTCAGGCCGGTCTCTAATTAAGAGTAATAATTAGAGTTAACCTAGGTTATAGTCTGAATTCAGTTAACCTGAGTCCACCTTCCTGTCCGATTAATTAGAAGAATCCTTTCTGATATACGAGAGATGTTGCTTTTATTCCCCTCTTTCTAAAAAACTCGAAAAGTAAGAATATTTTTCTAAAAAATCCAAAAATTAATTTACATTAATCATATCACAATTAAATTTTTCTTTTAATTTTTATTTTTAATAAAAACTTAAATTAATTTGTCAGCTCATTGTTTGTTCAATTTGTCCATTGCCTGGTTTGGAATGGCCCACCATCGATACTTTCTTAAGTTCATTAATGTTTTTGAGGCTTTATTGGGTAACTAGATGTTTACATTTACATTCACGATTATCATATGATGTTGCTGCAAAGTCAATTGCTGGAATGAATAGAGTAAAGACTGACACAAAATTTATTTTGAAGAGAACGCTTTATCTTTATCCAGGTACTTCGTTATAAGATCTTACTATAAGACCATTGAGCTTATATTAAGCATCGTGATCAAAATCGTTATCACTTAGGAGGACCACTTTTAGTGCCAAACAAAATTTCAAAAATGTATCTTATTGTTAGCTTGAGATACATTTTTTAAAATTATTGGTTATATCTTATAACAAATTTCTACCGTTTTTTAATTTTAAATTAAGCTTGAAATAAATTAAATTTTAAGGGTTGGCACTAGCAATATTTGTGGTACGTAGTATATTTAAATTAAATATTAATTATTAATTTCCAATAAATTTTGATAGCTAGTTTTCTGGCTAATTGGCGGCTATATTCTTCGACTTTGTGAAGGGTAGGAACACAAAAAAATTCCCTAATTTAAAGTTAAATTTTTTTAGTAATTTTGGAGATGAAAATTTGAGGAGCTATTATAATGCTTTATGGTTAATGTGTGTTACCTTTCTAACTATTGGATATGGTAACTCTTTAATGACCTTTTATTACCCCCTCCATATCCATCATAGGAGATGTGTATCCTATAACTGTTTGTGGAAGACTTATGGCTATTTTGACTGGGGTTATCGGTGTTTGTGTGGCCAGTATGATTGTTGCCGTTATTTCACAAAAAATTTCGTTAAGTCACGCAGAGGAGCGTGTCCACAATTTTATGGCTAGAACTAAACATGCTAGAAGTGTAAGAAGTTTAAAAATAAATTTTTGAAGATACTATAAATTTAGTTAAAAATAACTGCAGCACAAGTGTTAAAAGAGTGTTGGTTTTTGTACAAAATTAAAAGCATGGCTGATCAAGTAATTGAATAAAATTTGTTTTTAAACAGATGTCAGGATATTAGCCGTATCATAGACCAGGCTAGGGTTAATAATTGAAATTGCCTTAAAGTATCCTTTCTTCTTACTTCCCTCTAGTATTACCTCTCCCCTTAAAATTCCAGTTAAGTATGGATTAGAGGTTCACCGGAAGTTCCGGTTCTTGTTCCGTGAATCGGAACTCAAATTGGATCCGGTTCCAGTCAAAATTTTGGTTCCGTTGAAACACTAGTATGGATCCAATCTATTCATATTATATTCGAAAGGGACTTTGAGACATCTTGTGAGATACCTTAATTTTGACCCCGAAGAAATTAGGTTCAGATCCATCTCACTTTCAATCTGATTAGCTTATCAATCATCCTCATAGTTGCAATTTAGGATAAAGTAATTCAACACCAAAGACGTTTAAGTGCCGCTATATGCACTTTGAGAAGGCTAAGGAAAGAACAACGAGTATTACAGGAGGAGAATGGAGTTTCTCTGGATGATGTAGCCAAAGTAATTTGAAATAAACTTGCCTAAATAATTTCAAAAATTCTCAAAGATAAGCCAAAATGCAACAGAAATGATTAGAGGAGTTGGACAATCCCAACAACGATTAACTGAACGAGTAAATGCTATGGAACTTCGTTTGGAACAGATACATAAGGGAATTGATGTATTAACTGAATTAATTATTAAAAGGAACGAAACAGTGGGTAATGAAACAAAAATTGAAAATAAAGTAGAAAACGTGTAAAATTTAAATACTGATTCAATCTTCATAAGATATGCTATAGTATTTATTTATTATAAATAAATTTTAATTTCTTTAGTCATTTTATTATGTGCGCAGTAACTATATTTAAAATTAGCCCTTTAATTAAAATTAATAAATAAAATAAAATTGACGTAATAAAATTACAATCTTGGTAAAATTTCAGTATGACTAGGAAAAATCACAGTTTGAATTCTTAACAAAATTTATAATCATTTAGACTTTATAAATATATTTTTTAATGAATTTTTCAAACATGTTTATTTATATTACTACGATTCCATCAAAAAATTGTCTTGCTCTAACCTTAAGATACCCACATATGTAAAATTGCCCTTTCATTTTTTCTGAGGCTGTAATTTGAAGTGCGTTTTAATAACCAAGCCTGTATAAAATGGGAGAGTTTAATGAATATAGTTCATTTTTATTATACGTAGAGTTGAATACTTTCCCATTAATCGTTAAAATTTTCTTGCATATTACTTGTTTTATAAATTAAAATTCTGATTTTATGTTCAATTTTTGAAAAAATTTAGGAAAAATTTTAAAGCTTCCAGATGGTAAAACAGAATCATCATAAGAAGAGTAAGAGAGACTCTAAAAAGCAAGTCTTGAATCTACTTGTTGAAGTAGAAATTAAAAATGAAATATTAAATCTTCCCAATGAAGTAAAACTAGATATTCTTAAATGTCTAAATTTCGATCAACTATTATACGTCCAACAAACCAATTATTCATTTTATTGTTTGATTAGACAAAATGAGAAAATTTTAGCTTGCAAAAGATTGTATTATGTATGTACTCCTAAGGTTCAATAAATTTTTAAAAGTTTGAATAAATAAATAAAATTTTAATATGATTCATAGGACCCGTTTGAACACTATGGTTGTAAAAATTTCAAAATAAAGTCTGGAATTTTTAAAATTTCATTAAATGATCAACTTTTGAAGAAGGTAGGGATGTTATTCAATTCCTTTAGAGGGTTTGACTCTATATGAAACGAAGTCGGTAATCGTTTTTTTTCATTACTTTTCTCCATTACTTTTTTCCTTCATTGATATGACAGAATGGTCAGCATTTTCCTCCTTGTTCAATTCCATTATATTTGCCTGTGGCATAATCAAAAGAAATGATAGAGAAAAGAATTAATTGAAAGGAGAGGACAGACAAAACACGGACGGACCCGGACAGACAAAACACGGACAGACTCGGACAGACAAACACGGACGGACCCGGACAGACAAAACACGGACAGACTCGGACAGACAAACACGGACGGACCCGGACAGACAAACACGGACAAACGAAACAACAGACAAGCACGAACGGATACGAACAGAAAACACTCGTGTTTTGTCTGTCCGTGTGTGTGTTTTTGTCTGTCCTCATTTGAATATGCCACAGGTTTAAAGAGTGGAATTGAACGAGGAAGAAAAGACTGACCATTATTTATAATTAAGGTAGGAAAAAAGTAATGAAAAAAAGTAATGAAAAAAAACGATTACCGACCTCGTTTCATATAGTGCCGAGGGTTTCGTAGTACAAATGTCCAGAAAGTAATGGCACTTCAAAAATTCTTGATTGTATTTGTTCCTTATTTAATTCTCTATCATTTAAGCTTTATTTGATTTCATTATTTTTAGTTTGGATTAAGTTAAGTGATGAGAATGTCCCACTACCTTACATATCCCATTACCTTTTAGTCGCTTTTTAAATACCTAAGCATTCTTTTAATATAAGAATTATGAATGGCCGAGACGTTTGTAAGATAATTTTTTTGACAAAGTCATGACATGAAATAGACCTAACGGGTTCGGCGACTTATGTCATAACTTTTTCAACTCTTGTCCAATCACATTTTTTTGGTATCATTAGACACAGCTCGTCGAGTTCTATAACTTAAGATTGACTGACCATTTTGTAATACTTTGAGGAAGGAAAAAGTAGGGGGAACGGAGGTGAACAAACCAAAGGTCTCACAAACCATTCGTCTAGGAAATTCAAATTATCCTCCTTATTTCCTCTTTTTACCTGAGGCGCTAGAAAATTGCATGTTAAAAGATTACTTAGCCCAAGTTTGAAGACTAAATTAATTTTTGGAGAATATATTAAATATTAAAAATTAAAACTGAAACTAGGGAAAAATAGATGGCAGCATTCCATTCAGATAATGCAAAGATATTTTTAAGTGGCAGTCGGCGGTGGACAGACAAATTTCTATTTATTCAAGTACGTGTGATACTCCTCCAAACAACATAACAATGGTGGATTTAGGTCCCATAAAAGATTACAAAATGTGCCATGACGGTATGTTTTAAAGTCCAGTAATTTGGGTTTATTAAAAATACCTTCTGTATCTTTACTGGCAAAATTAAATATTATGCGGTACAGCTAGTGAAATAAATAACAAATCTGATTCAAACTACTAAAATTTTAGTTACTGTTTTGAAATTGCCCATCTACCCTAAAAACATTAAAGAAATGAAGATTGTCCGTTGTTGGTTGGAAAAATTATTTCTTTGTACTTATGAACATGCAGAATTTGAAAAATATTTTTACAATCCAGAAATGATTAAAATACTTTTTGACAACGAACAAAATATTCCAACTCAATTTCGCTCAAACTATAGCAGAATAACTTATAGCAACTATAATATAGAAAATGTGGTGGAATTTAATTTGGATCATTTAATTAGTTATCGAGACCTTGTCATAAATTTTGATTCTTCCGACAAAAATGAAAAATGCAACAATTATTTATTAGAATTGTTGTTTAACAGAGGCAAGAATATGCAAAGAATTTTTATTAGAACACTTAAGAAGCGAACATTTTTCGATTTGGTTGTAAAGGTAACTTCATGAGGATTTTATTATTATAAGTAGTGTTAGGCAAATGGATTTTTTCGGTACCGGTAGTACCGAAAAGTGCCGAAACAGAAAAGTACCGCTGAAAAATTTTCGGGAGTACTTCGGTACTCACACTAAAATGACATAATATCAAAATATGGACATATAAATGTGCTAATTGATGTGTAACAGTTATATACATTATTATTTCGATATCCCTCCAAATCCTCAGATATCCCTGCCTAAATTTTCCGATATCTCTCTTAATCCTAATATTCATAAAATCTTCCTAATCACTCTATATACTTTTAAACCTAACAATCTTCTGGTTCCTTCTTAATCCCCGAAAATACATTTTATACCTGTTAATCCGCAAATACCCTCTTAAGAGCTTTTAATTTTGCGGGATATATGTAAGCGGTGTATCAGAGGATTGTAAGTAGGTATCTCCTGATATTCTTAAGCTTACTCGCGGATATCAGGAATTTGAGGAGTATAATTACCAAGGGTACGTAACCGACAATATACATATTTGATAATATATTTTGTTAACAATAATTTCAATTATTTAGCATCTTCAAACATCAAATGACTGTCCAAATTTTAACTTAGCTATTATATTTGAATTTGCCCCCGACCTTAATTTAGATAAAGAAGAGATTTTTATCAAACCATCCTTTACCATTATAAACATTTACAATCCAAAAATGATATTCACTATTTCAAATATTGTTATTTGTGGTATCTTTAAAGTGAGAATCAAACAAAGATGCATTGTTAAATAATCAACTCTTCATATATTATTCAAAAAATTTTAAATCGTTTAAATACTAAGGATTATTTGGTTTATGATATTATTAAATAAAACAATTCTTGTATGGTAATATTGAACCTGACAGACCCCATGTCTTCCTACCCAAGTTTTTTCCCTATATATCTACCAGGGGTGGGCCGAATCACACAAAATACGAGACACGAGATTCACGAGATACGAGATTCTCAGAAAAATACGAGAACGAGATAAAACGAGATACGAGATCTCTCAAAAAATACGAGATTTTACGAGATACGAGATATTAAGTATTTTTTTAAAAATTATTCATACATAAAATTGTAAAGTCGAAAATATAAGGGTTTGAATGGATAATGATTACAGGTGGATTATGAAGGATATTGGGGATTTAGAGGATCAAGGGGATTTATTAGATATCTGGGATTACGGAGAATATCATGAGATTCGGAAGGATCGAGGAGAGTTAAATGAACAGATACCATGGGATTATTGA